GAGGAGAGTCTGGTGTGTGAGAAGCCGACACGAACACGACGCAGCTAACTGACCCGATGCGGCCACCTGACCTGACGCAGCCGTCTGTGCAGACTCAGTGGTCAGTGTGTACAGTCCCGACGCAGGTCTCCGTGTGAACGTAGCGAGGTGGCGGCCTGTACGGGAGAACGTACAGATCGCCACCCACTCACCCCCATGAGTAGTGGTAGTGACCAACTCATCTTGGAGGATTGCGTTACTCACCAAGTTCGTAGAGAACGAGGGGAGGTGGAGACCTGGGAGAGAACAGGAGGGGACCGCCAGACACGGGAGGACAGTGGAGGCCCGTGGAACGACTGGGCCCCCAGAGGGGTCAGCCAGAGCGACTGGGATAGGTGCTGTGAGCGGTATGACTATGGTGCAATCGGGAAAGAAGCAGCGAGACGCGCCTGAGTCAAGATTGAAGGTGTGCAAGGCCGCAGCAGAAGTAGTACATGCGGCAGCAGACTCACAAGCACCTAGAGCAGCAGTCTCTACACCAGCAGCACGCGGCACACACGAGTAACAGTCACCCTCAACACTAGCAGAATCAGCATTCATAGCATAGATTCTAGCATTGATCTTGTCAAGAGCAAACACATTCACCCCCTTCCCTAGCAATTCTAATCAGTTGGGAATCTCCTGATCATCTCCGTACTCAGTGCGCCAGGCATCCTCGAGACGGCAGAAGCAACGGTACTCAGTGGTCCCAGCCTTCCCACAGGGCTCACCAATCCTGTGACCTGAGCGCCTGATGTACGGGCAACGAACACTACCCCCAGAGGAGCCACGCTGGACAACCCAATCACGAAGCTCCTAACGGGTGCGTGGCTCGTGCTGACGTAGCTCTGCTGCTGTCCACCCCCGGTGCCTCCGCCACGAGCTGCACCCCCAGTCGCCGCCCCATAGCCTCCGCCCCTGCCAGCTCCACCTCGACCACCACACGAGCCCCCTCCGCCCACTCCACCGCCTCCACCACCCAACACCACCTCCACTGCCGCCACCACCGCCTCCGCCCCCGCCACCACCACCACCACCACCCCCGCCATCACCTTCGCCAGCGCCACCCCCACCACCCTTACCCCCCTTATCATTGCCGCTGCGGCGCCTCCCACTAGGAGCAGACGCAGCACCAACCTCCTCAGCACGAAGGAAGTCAACAGCAACCGCAGAGGCAACAGAGGGCGCGAGAAGGGAGGGCGAACACCCTTCAAAGAAGGGGGAGCAAGGAGAGCCACGGGAGGCAGCTACAGCGACAACACTGGTCTCAGCCTCGATGAGATGCTTCTCCAGCAAGTCAAGCGTGAGCTCAGTGGGGTCAAGAGCGAGAAAGTGATCCCTAACGGCGCGGAGGGAGGCAGGGAGGCGAGTAACGAGGTAGTATAGAGTTAAGGTATATCGGAGGCTGGTTCGTAGTCAGAAAGGCCGGCTTGAGAGCGGCGCGGTAGCGAGCATCACTAGTGCGATGGCGGGTCATGAGGTCAGCGACTGTGTGAAATTTCGACAGCTCAGGAAAGAGGTACGGCAACATGATACGGCCTAGGGCAGCAGTAGAGGGGGAGGAGTAGCGTGCAACTACGACGTCATAGAATTCCTTCGCCGTCTTAAGCTGGCCAAAATGGACCCGTTTGTCTAGCGTTAGGGCATCGCGCGTGATCCACTGAGTACAAAGAACATGATCAGCTGACTCCTCAGGGGCAAGGCAAGAACCAGACGTTTGCTCAAACAGTGAAACGTCCTCCCTAGCCATACTCTGCACGTACAGCTGGAGATCCTCGAGCCAGCAGTCAAACCTGATTGGGCGACCTTCTGCGTCAAAGGTAAGGACATTAAGGGTAGCCATAGCGCGCAGTAGTAGTGGCAGCAGCAGTAGCAAGCAGGTGCGGCAGCAGCAATAGCAAGCAGGTGCGGCAGCAGCACTAGCTCGGTTGGGCAGCTAGGCAGGGCTGTTCAGCTGGGCGGTTCGGCAGGGCGGCGCGGTTCAGCTGGGCAGCGCGGCTTGGTAGGGCAGGGCGGCGCAACGCGGGCGGCAGCAGCAGCTTAGCAGCAGCTGCAGCATGTCCAGGGCGCGTGCAGGCGGCGCAAGACAGCGCGTGGGCTGTGCGGGCAAAGCACGGGCGGCACGTGCCGTAGGGGCAGCGCGCGGGTGGCGCCAGCAGCGTGCGGAAAGTGCGCAGGCAGGGCGCGCGGTGCGCGGGCTGGACGTCGGCGGTGCAGGCAGCGCGCAGGCAGTTCGCAGGCAGCAAAAGCAGCGCGCAGGCTGTGCAGGCAGCGCGCGGGCAGCGCAGGCAACAAGCGGGCAGCGCAGGCAGCGCAAACAGCACGCGGGCAGCGCAGGCAGCGGGCGCAGCGTGCGGGCAGGGCGCGCGGAGAGCTCGGGCAGCGCGTGAGCAGGGCGCGAGCAGGGCATCGTGCAGGTCACGCGTGGGGCAGCAAGCGGGCAGCGCGCAGGGCAGGGCAGAGCGCGTGGGGTAGCGCAGGCAGAGCAGCGTGAGGGACGCTATTCGGGCAGGGCAGGTACAACCGTGAGGGCAGTCCTGGCAGCGCGAAACTAACGGTGGGCCCTAGTAGAGCAGTCCTACGGAGTGACCTACTCTGAATACCATGTGGGACTAATGTGCAAGAATGATGAACTAAAATGAGAGATGAGTACAAGTACTAGGTCTAACCCTAAAGTGTTGTACTCAGACATACAAACACAGTTTGACACAATGTCTCAGATGTGCCGATATATCTTCTTTCACCGATTCGCTTCGTTGTGCGACATGCTGAAATGTATTATGATAACTCCACGCTTTACTGGTTACGACAATCGGAGCGACAAATTAAACTTCGTGATGTTAACCAGTAAAGAGTGTATGACGCTGTCATACCTGTCACTGTGTGCTCGCGTGCTGGCACTGTACCGCGACCAATCGAATGTGGGCTTATTCCAGGAAACTTCTTATCGATAAGGTCTCATTCAGTGACCACACGATTTGTACCCTATCTTGACAGGGACCGTAATAGTACTACTCTAAGAGTGTATACAAGGATTCAGGGTCCCCTAAAGTATTACTCTAATTGGATCAGTGTTGAAAACCCATCAGTTCTGAAATTTCAGTCACCACAAGGTGAGAGGTCTGAAATCACCCTGAAATTAGGGTAATTACCCTGATAAAAACAGCCCTGGGTGGGTGATGTTACACTAGGCACAGAAACGCCCTTTTGGCTGCTTGATTCATACTGTCTCTAGTGACAATGGTAGGACGATGACGTATTTATTATTGAGTTTCCAACATCTTGAATGGTATTCCTCCTTGAGCTGTATGTATTTCTCGCACGTTAATGTTTGTTGTGTGGTGTTTAGGGTATTTTTGGACAAGAAGCGTGGAATAATGATGTGACTATGAGTACCGGATTTGCCCAGTACCCGTATTTTCTCGAATAAAGCACCCCCCGACATTGAACACCCCTGGGTGGCTAAGGGCGTGTTCCTACGGCCCCCTATAAGAACTTCCTCCTATCAGAAAGTGAAAACATTGTAGTCAACGTTATAAAACACCTCTTGTCAAACCAATACCGGAACTACGCACGAATGAGATTACTCGCACGGCATTGCACGGTCGTGCAGACTCACGTGTGTACGGCAAGAGCCGGTTGTCATTGCCAGACTGCGGCCACCCTAATGTCAAATCACAATTCTGCTTGTTAGGCTAAAGTGGGGCACTCTATATGGGGTACAACATATTCTAGGGTTAGTACTTGTACCCCAGTCCTTGCTTGTCAAATCATTCCGCTGTCCTATCATTCTAACATGGTATCATGCGCTAGGTTAGGTCCGACTGCCGAACCTACTATTGAACCTACAAGTAGGTTAGGTTTGCCACGCTTCCCCACGCCTCGAGCGCCAATGCCTCACTGCCTTGTACGTCACGCGCCACTGCCCTGCTGTCCCACGCGTCGCGTGGGCCCTGCTGCCCTGCGTGCCCCGTTGTGCCAACATATTATAGTGGCACGGTCATCGCACTCCCATTCGGCCTACAAGCCTGCTCAGCTTCTGGAATTTTGTGGGGAGGTTCTTCAACATGTGTTCTTCAAACCCTCAAAGTTTCAGAGTTTTTGAAGCAGTTAACAAGGCATGACAACCTTTTAAGTTTCAAGACTTATGGCATCCCGGAAGTGTGTGTTACTCTTTTTTTGGTAACACCCGAGTTCACCATTTCGGCTGCTGACTCGTCTGCCGAGCTCGGATTGGTCTGAAAATTGGTGTGGCAGTCCTTTGCCGTGTGTTTCAGGTGGTCACCGAGTTTCAGGACAACCCAGCATCGGAGCAACACGTGACAGCTGTCGAAAATTACTGTTCCGTAGTCATGGTGCACTGTGGCAGCATTTCCCTTGCCACCCTTTCATTGTTGTCATGCCAATGGTGCAGGGACAGAGAATGAGACAAGAAGTACAGGTGGTCAAGTGGGACTCTACCACCCTCCTTTTTGAGAAGTGTGGTCTTCCTGGAAGCAGCTTGCAAGAGGGTGCAAGTGGGAAGACAAGCTGACTCATGGCTGGCTTGACTCACTATTGGTAGCCTTGAGTACAGCTCTGAACATCCAAGTGTGGTTGGCTTTGCTGACCTAGCTAGGACGTTTCCCATCCTTCTCTAGCCTTTCTTCCCTAGGACTCAACCTTCTCTGAGTTCCCAGGATGGTCCCAACCCCTTAAGAGTCCCCTAGGCAATGTTGTACTCACCTCTTCCTTGCATCAATGAAACTACACGTTTTCAGCCGAGCTTACGTTTTCGTTCACTGCGTAGCGCATACACCACTGGTGAAAGCAAGCAATATACCGTTGGAAAGCAGACACCTGAAGCAAACGTCTGTCAAAGGTTCAGCCTCGTATGCTATTGGAGCTGATCGTGACGGCGATTTGAATAGATGCGGTTTGAAGTCATTAGATTCTGCTTAGGTGATTTCATGGGCATCCGCGACCCCTAAGTGGATTCTAGACTAAATCATGCCCCTCGCGCCATGGTGCCCCGCGTCCCGCGCGTCCTGCTGCCCAACGCGCCCCATGCGCCCTGCTGCCCGCGCGCCCCGCTCGTCCTGCTGCCCTGTGCGCCCCGTGCTTCCTGTTGCCATGTGTGGCCCCTGCATCCTGCTGCCCGCGCGCCCCGCGCGCCCTGCTGCCTGCGTGCCCCGCGCGCCCTGCTGCACCGCGCCCCGTGCGTCCTGATGCCCAATGCGCCCTGCGCGCCCCGCGCACCCCGCGCGTCCTGCTGCCCTACGCGGCCTTCGCGTCCTGCTGCCCTGCACCCCACGCGCCCTGCTGCCCATGCGCCCAGCGCGCCCTGCTGCCCTGCAAACCCCGCACGCCCTGCTGCCCGCGCGCCCTGTGCGCCCTGCTGCCCTACGCGCCCCGCGCGTCCTGCTGCCCTGCGCGCCCTGCTGCCCCACGCCCCCCGCGCCCTGCTGCCTGCTCCGCCCGCGCGCCCTGCTTCCATGAGCGAGCCACGCACCCAGCTTCCCGGGCTCTGCCCTAGCTGCCCGTGCACTACCCTAGCCCCCCGCGTGCTGCCCTAGCCGAGAGCGCGGTGCTCTAGCTGCCCGTGTGCTGCCTCGCACGCCGCACCTGCACGCACTGCTGCCCTGCAGCGGTGCTGTTGCAATAGCTGCCACTACACCCTCTGCAGCAGCTGCTACAGCTACTGCGGCCGCCGTTACAGCTGCCACAGCCGCAACACCTACCACTACAACTTCTAGTGCTACTGCCTCTGCTGTCGCTGCAAGCACCCGCTGCCACTACATCTGCCACTGCCGCCCTTGCGCTGCTGCTGCTTACTGCTGCTAGCCGTCATGGCCGCTCTCTTGGTCTTAGCGGTTGATGCATACGGATGCCCTTTCAAGGTAGGGTTGTGGCTTACGTGCCTGCGCATGTACCACCGATGTTTCATTATAGATAGCGTCTCCCTACTCGAGCATATGTCGGGGTCCCTTGAGGCCCCCACGACTCCTACTGAGCCTGCTGCTGATGCTGGCGAGTACGTGCTGTGGCGGTACCGGGCGGACAGCCTTGCCTACACACAGTAGACAGAGCGCGACGCTGTCCCATAGCTTGCCGTTCGAGCTCACCTGCCGGTCGACCAGATGGCCCACTTCTGTAAGGTGACATCGACCCAGACTCTTTACAACGCTGTGGTTACTACCCGGCCACTACGGCATCGCCGTCCGTTGTTAGGGGAGGTGCAACAGCTGGTCGAGGATGCGAGTGTAGGTACCTGTACGGCTGCTCCTGCACGTGGTGCCGCTAGTGGAGGAGGAGGTTCTGAGAGTGGAAAGCAGCAGCGGCAACGTCAGTCGAAAACCCTCTCGCCGCAGCAGCTTCGGGAGTGGGTTTCCCAGCGACGCATCTCTGGTGGTATAGAGGCTACTAGTCTAGGTGCTTGTGAGCCTGCTAGCACAGGTGCAGCCCCATCAGAGGCTTTGCACACCTTCACGCTTGTCTCCGGCGCGTCTCGCTGCTTCTTCCGCAATTGCAACATGTTGGTGCAACCTACGGTTTGCACTCGGCTTGCTGTCTGTGTGCGTGCATGCGTGTGTGCATGGAATGGTAAGAGGGCATGAGAAAATATATATTTCATGCTTATAATAGTGTGTGAATGATGAGTCGTGATTTCGAATGTGTGTGCGTCGAGTCAATAGCGAGTCATCGCTAGTCGCGTGTCTACGTCGTCGTTTGTGTGTCTCGCGCGGTTTCTATTTTGTCGTTTGTGTATCCCGCGCGGTTTTTATTTTGTCGTGTGTGGAACGTTCGGCGTGTCGCAGGTGTATGCAGTAGACCCATCAAAGAACTCAAGGATGAGTTATGATGAAGAACCAGAGCTTTGTTTCAAGATTCAAGTGATCGCGAAGCCCGTGAAAAGGGTACATTTAAAGATATTGAGAATAGTTACATTACAATGTGTTGTGTAAGATTTCTCTTGGTGTAGGCCCTTGTGGAGGGTAGTTTCGAGACCCTTCTTGGTTGAGGACAGTGCGGCACTGTTCCACATCATTGTACCTCGGCTCTTGGGGTTTGTAGAGGCTAGGAGCCATTCCCAACTCGTAACTCTTCCTAATTTGTGTTCTAAGACTATAGTGGTTGCCATGTTGCCGTTCGTTCAAACCAGCACTGTGTCGTTAAATCCTAATGCAATCTTGCAATATAGATTGCCTATTGTAGGCGACGTTAAGACGTTCCAGATCCAAGTTGAATCATGCCATTTGGAGTTGTGACCAGAACGCTATGAACGTTTAAAGCCGCTATGCAGAAATTCGACTGTGCACTCTATCTTTCGTTTTAGGCACATTCAAGCCTATTGTGACTATAACAAGTGGTATCAGAGCCCCTTGGAGCCTGGACCTGAGGAAAGGGGTGGCAGAGGTGCTGGTGGTAGTGGAGAAGCCCAAGCTCAAGGCCAACCCCGTGACCCCGCCATGTCTCCCATGCAACCAAGTCTTGGCCCACCTAGGGATGAGCCTAGGGTGTTTGGGCTTGACAAGTTCAACGGTGATTACTTCGCTGAATGGTCATTCAAGATGGAGAACATATTTGACCACTATGACTTGCTGGAGGTGATGGAAGGAACAGAGAAGCGCCCCGAGGACGACCCAGAGAAGAGCCCGTGGGTGCGGAAGAACGCACAAGGCTACCTCCTACTTGGGCAAGCCTTGGGGAGCAGCCAAATCCGTCACATCAAGCCATTCCAGCGTGAACCAAAGAAGGGACCAAAGGCATGGGCTGCTCTCAAGGGTGTACATGCTCCTGCAACATCGGCGCTAGCGGTGGTGTTGGAACGGCAAATGGCGGCACTACAAATTGAAGAACACGAAGCGGTTGAAGAAGGGGTGCAGAAATTCTTCGACTTGTTGACGCGGCTTGAAGGAGCGGATCTCAACTTAGTGAACTCCAGAAGAAAACCAAGTTGCTGGCCCTACTCCCCGATTCATGGTCCTCGCTCATCATCAACCTGAATCGTGATATGCCCCGCCTCTCGCTCGAAGACGTGAAGCGAGCAATCCTTCAAGAGGATTTCCGCCGCCGTGAGTTGGCGAGTGCGGATGGCGCCGGGGCAGCAAGCATCGGCCGGAGGTACGGCCGTGGAAGGGGCAGAGGACGAGGGGGAGGCAGATTTGGCAGCAACAACTTCAATGGAGGCCGCGGGAGTGGCGGATACGGCGGCGACGACAAGAGCTACGGACGCGGTCGCGGTCGATTCGACGGCGAATGTCATTATTGCCACAAGAGCGGACAGATGTGGCGCGATTGCTACAAGCTCCCTGATGGATGGACCCCTGCTCAATGCCAAGAGGGTAGAGGAGCAGGAGGAGGGAGAGGAAGAGGCCGTGGAGGCCGCGGCGGTCGCGGAGGTGGTGCTGCAAATATGAAGAATGGCGACAACAAGAGCGGGTCGAGGGACGATCGCTTTCCGGACCAGTTCTTCTTCGTGTCAACAAAAGCACCGGCCGGACCAGAGAAGGATGAAGACTTTGACGAGCTAGCAGCTGTGGGAAAGGTGACCCTACACTCCTTGGATTATTGGGTGATCGATAGCGATGCTACCTAGCATGACACCTCGCGCGGACTTGCTCCCCGAACTCGAACCGTCGCCGGTGAAGCATGTCACATCGGCTTTGGGGCAGCGAGCAGAGGTTCTAAGGCATGGGCAAGGCCATGTTCAAGGGTGCTGATGGGAAGATGGTGGGCCTCAAGAACGTGCTTTGGGTGCCCAACCTTGCTTCCAACCTGATTTCCGTGCGGCGGTTGCAAAAGGCCAGCATGGACACGAGCTCGAAGGGAGCCAAGACCTACACCGCAACGATTGGCGAGCGGATTCTTTGGGACCTTCAGGAGGATAGGGATGTCTAGAACGAGATGTGGCAGATCCCTGTGGTCCCCATGCCTAAGGAGAGGCAAGTGGCAGCAAGCGTCAGCACCAAGGGTGAAGCGGTTGGTAGCTACGATGGCGCGAACGGTCGCATTAAGGAGAATGCGTCCAACAAGTGCAATCTTGGAGGGACCAGCAAGCTTGGTGAACACGAGGAGAGTGGAGCTTCGGGCCAGCCGAGACCCCACCACTCCAACTGAGGGTCCCGCACAGCCCCAGGACTGTCGAACTCATCCCACCCGCGATGCCTCCCGTTTGGCTGCGACGACACCTGGAAGAACATCGAATCAAGGGGCGAATGACGAAAATGGAGTGACTAACCGCGTATTGGGAAGCGACACACGGGAGGAGGAGCCTGCCATAGTGGGAGAGAGCACATCCGGTGGAATAGTACACAAAGAAGGAAGAGAAGAAAGGGCGCCCACGACGAGGACAACTGTGAGGATCTAGGATCGAGCTCAGAAAAGTGGGTTTGAATTGAATGATTCACCTGGGTACAACACGAGACTATATACAGTCTCGACACAAGGCCTGTTACCTAGGTGTTACGTGAATGTTCTGAGGGTCGCGAAGCGTCCCAAACAAAACCTTATCGAACTCGGTAGAAAGCAATTCGGTGGAAACCGAATAGGCTTGAGTTCGGTACACGTAACCTGGTTCGGTGCTATAACTATAATAAAATGTAGGAATGCACCTAACCTAGGAAATCAAGCATGTCTATGCATGATAAATATAACCCAAGCTAGTAATAGAATAACAAAGTCCATGCAAGCTAGCAAAGCCAGCATAAACCATCGTACTCTCACAACAACACTGACTGGGATGGAGGAGGAGGCCTCACCAGACCAAAGCGGGCAGCTGGGGGACGGGAACAAGGAACCAGGGGATGCTGCCAACGAGGAGGCTGGACACCAGGCGCAGGAGAGGCGGGGGGAGGAACGGCGGGAGGAGGAGGCTGTGCAGCAGGACGAGAGGGCGCCACTGAGCCCATAGGCGCTGACAAGGACAACTGTGCGGGAGGAGGAGGGGGGGCCAGAACCGACTGCGGTGGCGGGGCCAGGGGTGGAGGAGGTCGCTACAGTGATGACTGCTGTGGCAGCGCAGGAACCAGCTGCTGCACAGTGTGAGTAAGTGGTGACCGCAACGGCCTCGGCCGCCATGGTTGGTGGTGAGGACGACGAGGCGGGCGGAACTGCTGCCCGCGAGGCCCCAGAGAGGGATAGGCACGACCCGGGGGGGGATGAAACACAGGTGCAAGTGAATCAGGCGGATCACGCTACACTGGCCCCGAACCGCCGCTCGCTTCGGCTTCAACCAGGTCAGTGGTGGTTCGGAGCAGGGCTGGCACCTGGCCGCCCTGGGCCTCTGTGGGGATGGGACCGGCAGTTCGGCCAAGAACAACCTTGCGACGAGGGGCTTTCCACCTGCCCTTTATCGTCGCGAGGAGCAGGAACAGTAGCGATAGAGGGAGACAGGGCCGCGGGAGCACGAGCGGTGGCGGCAAATGGCGAAGGAGAGGTCCGGGAACTGCCAGACGCAGAAGAGCAACCGCAAGGGCCGGCACCCACGGAACGGCA